CTTATTTTGCATTTTGCTTTCAATTTCAGGAGCACAGGTTCCTTAAATTCTAGTTTCTCATTATATTGCCTATTCTTTTTGCTTATGTTGAACAGAATGTTTGTGTTGTTGGTGTTGCCCGTACTCCAATTGGGGCTTCCTTGGCTCTCTTTCATCATTGTCGCAACTAAACTTCTGGATCAATTTCCATCGCCGGTAGGACTCTTTACTAATCTGCTGTAATTCTTTCATTATAGAGAATTATTGTCAAATTGCGGTTAGAATTTTTTGAAATTATATTGATCTCTCTTTTTAATGCAACTATAGGTGCTTTGAAGAGAGCAAATGTTGACCCATCACTTGTTAGAAGAAGTTTTCATTGGAAACATCCTCAGTGCAAACTTGGGACAGGCTCCAGCTAGACAAAGCCAGCATTGGGTGCAGGAATACCCAATTCAGTGATTTGCACTACCGTGAACAAAGTTTGTGGCATCTGGAATGAAAGGTCTGCACTGTCTATCGAAGTAGATCCATTTCTAGAGACACCCCCCCCCCCACCCCCCAAAAAAAAAACCCCCCTTTTTACAACTGTTATTAGAGCAAGAAGATGTGTATGGTTTTTTAACTCCTCGTTCCTTTATATGGCTTTTCAGCACTATGCTTGCGCACAGAGTATCCAGTTGGGCATCAATGATGTTGTTGTGGCTAGTGGAATGGAAAACATGTCTAATGTGCCCTAAGTACATTGTGGAAGCAAGGTTTGTCTTATTCAAAGTTCAGTTAGTAACAATTGCTGTTTAGACTTTGGTCTCCACCCTCCTCCCAGCAAAGAAAAAGAAGAGTAATATAGAAAAAGATTTTCTTGAAGTCAAACTATAAGGAGAAATAATGGCCATTTCCGAGTTTGGCTACATATCTTTCAGGGAAGTCTCATCGTATCATCGACTGACTCCACGTTCACTTTGTTTAATCAAACCATGTGCTGTCCGTTCTTAAGTTTGACCACAGTGTAATAAACACTCTAAAAGAAACCAAGTATTACTGTTGTTGCTATTCTTTCACTTATGGTTTCCCTGCCTTCATATTGACCATTTCCGGGATTCGCTCTTTCTCTATTTGACATCTTACCCCTCACCCTAGAGTTCTATATTGTTTAGTGGATTGTGCTGTGTGGCAGACTTGTTTTACCTCTCAATTCCTTTCTGGCTCTTTATAAGCCCTGATTACATTGTTCCTCAATATGTAATGGCCTAAATTGGCAACATCTGCAGGAAGGGATCTCGTCTTGGTCATGACAGTCTTGTTGATGGAATGCTTAAAGATGGTTTGACTGATGTCTATAATGATTGTGGTATGGGAGTTTGTGCAGAAATATGTGCTGAGAACCATAAAATTACAAGAGAGGATCAGGTTTGTCTTCACACTCTCTTCTTTTTTTCCGTCGAAATACATACTACACAAAGTGGTGTTTGGGCTTTGATGTAAACTGACATATCACACGTTGTCATATCTTAATTCAGTGATTTGTAATAATAAGGCATTTCCCTCTTTTACTTTCTCTTTGTTTCTTTTGATATTTAATTATTTTCCATTTATACATGTTTTTGTCACAATGAATTCAAGATTGGATACACTGCTTTCTCTCATCTCTCTCTCTCTCTCTTCTCTTCTCTCTCTCTCTCTACTCTCTCTCTCTCTCCTCTCTCTATGTTTTGTAGAATTGACAATTCAAACTTTATGTTCTTTTGTCTACACTTCTATCACAGAATTCGTTTGTGGAAAAACTATCATTCTGTCATCTCTTTGTTACACCATTTGTTTTACAGTGCTGTCATGTTCGAAATAAGATATGCTAAGAAGTCTTTTAAAATCCAAGGGAAGTTAAGTGCTTTATGTCTGAACTATATATGCAGGATAACTATGCAAGTTCAAAGTTTTGAACGGGGCATTGCTGCTCAGGAACTGGTGCGTTTACATGGGAGATTTTGCCGCTAACTAACTGGATCTTCATTGCTAGTATTAGCTCATAGACCATAGTTTAAAACACACAAAACTTCCTTTCAGCTTGTTATACCATTGTTTAAACCATTTTCTGGGAATTTCAGGTTGAGTGCCTGGCGGAAGAGGAAAACCATCCACCATTGTTGATAAGGATGAAGGTCTAGGAAGGGTGAGTACATATACTGCAAGCAAAACTAAAATACATTGATGCCTTGGTTCCTTTCCATCTTACCTTGAGGTGCTCCAATGAATTTACTGATTCAAGGACATAATCCGTGGATGAGGAGAAGAATAGGAATCCAGGAGAAAAGTTATTTCCTAAAATGCAAAAAATTTATATCCGGGCAATCATTCTTTTTAAACATATAGAAGGGAATGAAGAAATTTATGAATGCAGTATCTGCCTTTCAAATGCCAGAAGGATCAAGAGATGAATTTACTTTCTTAGTTGCTAAAACAGGTTAAACATATATCAACAGACATTTTACAAGGCTCATAATTTCTGCCTTTGTCTTTAAAGCTATCAGGTTTTATATCGCACATATTTTTGTTTTCTATGGCTAGTTTGATGGTGCAAAATTAAGGAAACTCCGACCAAGTTTCAAGGAAAAGAGGCACAGTAAACTGCTGGTAAACGCTTTCTAGCATAAGGTTTGTTGACTTTCATGCACCATCTTATATTCTTTTAATTCTGCCGTTTATAAATTAAGAACTGTTGTTTGACTAACAAAATAATGCATTTAATCCTTTTCTCTTATTGTTACCTACTCTGAAATTTACTTGCACGCAACCACCATGTCCTGCTATCAGAATGTACTGATCCCCAAAAAATAGGCTGGACATGGATTTTCCGCAATTTTAGCAAAAATGTCATATCTGCTAGTATGATTTTATTTCCTCAAGCAAAGTGAACTTTTTCTTTCCATCCTTAGGATCGAGTAGTTGTAGGTTTTGTTTGACTCAAAAGTTGTTTAACACTTTTTAAGCAAATCAATTAATAAGATGAAGGGGTAAATCATAGTCAACCATAATTAATGCTGGATCAAAGAGCAGAATCATAAAATAAAAGAAACAATTGAGATGACATTGATTGTAGAAATTCGGTCTGCCTCTCCTTGGAGAGGTTCAGGAGATTACAATCAAATTCTTTTCCCCCCCCCCCCCCTCTCGGAGGCGGAATCTCTCCCTTTATAAAGTTGTTTGATCTCCTCTTCATGGAGTTCCTCTCCTTTCATGGAGTTTCCCCTCTGTTTTTGGATCCCCTCTCTTTAAGGGGTTCTTCTGCCCTCTATTTATAGCCAGAACTTCTCGTGCTTATCATATTTCATTCGGGCCAGGTCAGGGAGGTGACCTATCCCCTCATGGGGAGGCCTCAACCCTCGACGCTCATGTCGTAAATAGCAGCGTTTAGATGAAGTCGAGTTCGTTGATTATACTGAGGGTGGTCGGGACGGGATCATTGCTGTGTGGTTGTGTGGTCAGATTCTGACCAATAAGTTAGTCCTCCGTTCGTCGGGTCGTATCTTACCGACCTTGGCGGACGGATAATGTTTGTGACGTAATCGCGGAGGGAGTTAGATTTGCGTCTCTTTGGTCGCGTTATGAGTTTCGAAACTGCCAGGAGGCGTCTTTCTAATACTCTTAGTGTCGTCACGACGATTTCGAAACCGAAGAGCCGATTGATAAACGAAAAAGTAGTTTTGTATAAGCGGTCACAGTGGCGCATGTTCCCGAATAAGCTGATCCATTTCATGCCCCGGCCAGGTTCTGGGGCGACCGTTGGTTTTTGGCCCCGGAGTTTGTGGTCTTAAAATTGAAGGGGGTTTGTCACTCGTTTCCACACTTTAATCGTCATCTCTTCGGAGAATTTCCCAGAATATCTCCCTTTCTATTAGTTTGAGCTCTTCTTGACTCTTTTGCTGCAGAATCTTTAGCTTTCTCGCTTCTTCCTCAAGTTCCTTCCCTCCTCTCTTGCGAGTTAAAGATGACAGGAACTCCTTTCTACGATAATCTTCCGACTATCTCTCCCCGGCTGGCCTGGGACCCTGCTTCGGTAGACGGGACGTAGACCCGATGGCGTGCGAAAGATGTTCCTTCAGTAGAGGAAATTTTTATCCACGTTTCCCGGGGAAGGCAGTGGTGGATTCAGCGCCGATGGTGGTGCGACAGGTAAATATTCCTCCCCTTATAGGGGAGATCGGGAATAGCGGATTTAAGGGCACGATGGCGTATTCCTGTTAGTCGCATGATGGTACGCGCGCAAAGAGAGAAGATAGGCTCCAGATCGACCGTCCCGGGTTCTGCTCGTTCTATGCTTACCCCTTCCTAGTGGGGTACACACTTCTGCTTCCAGTTTTGGTGGTCGACTTCCTGCCGCTATTATGTAGGTGTGGTCCGCCCAACCTCTCTCCTTATCTGTACAATCTGTTCCTCATGTTTACCGAGCTACGCGGAGCTAGCGGGCGTCGGAGGTCACTCTGAGACTACGTCGCTCAGCTGTTCGCGTCCCCAAAGATTCGCGGCACTCATGCATCCACGCGTGTCCCCGAGGGTCGAAGGTTTAGGGTCAAGATGGATGACAGAGACAATGTCAATTTTTTGAGTAACTTTTTTCTATGTGCGGGACCGAGCCCCTTGTGCGGATCCAACTGGTTTCCAGGAGATTGTGGAATTTTGGCCCGTTAAATCTTCGTCCTTGACTATAGGAGTGCACACTTTGGCTCATTTCCTTCATATCTCTTGTTGTAAATATTGTCTATTTTCGAATGCTTTGGCAGCCGATCGAAGTTACCCCCTCCTCTGGAGGGGTCCGAGAATGGGCGAGGCCAATTTGTCCTCCATACAGCGGGAGTTGCACATTGGTCGACTCTTTCCTTATGAGATTGGAACGTAAGGCCCCCTTAACAGGTGACGATAAGCGGCCCTTATTTTTTTTACCGTTCTCTTCGTTTTCTATTTCGCTTTCGAGTAGTTGTTTGCGTGGCCAGGGAGGGTTCGGAGAGGTCAGGGCTCCTCCTCAGTTAGCTTTCGTCGGCGGACCGCGTCGTCGCTCGTATCAGAGCAGTACCTTGCAGCCCGTCCCTTCGGTCGAGGAGGGTTCCGGTAGATCTGTGGCTTTTAGCCGCTCCGACCGAACTATATCTACCCGTAGGAAGGTTCTGTCCTGTCCGTCCGTACCTCACCACAACGATCTCCGACATCACGACGGGAGGAAGAAGGGCGCCATCTAAG